ATTATTTGTGAATAGAATAAAAACTAAATAAAACAATAATAATGCAATGCATAAAGAAGACGTCTAAATTTTTTTAGAGAAATATGAATACCAAATCTAAAAACAAAAGTCCAACATTTTTTTGCTATCGTTTAAATATATGGAATTTGTAAGAAATTGGTTTTCATAAATAATGACCCTATATTATCAAATTTAAAATATTAAAGAAATAAAACTTTGTAATATATAATTTAGGTTTAATAATAAATTCGTGATAATAAAGTTCGAAAACGACTTAGAGTATCATAATATAATAGAATTCTAATTTTTATTCTCTCAATCATTTTAACAAATAATATGTTTTTTAATATTGTCTAATTGTTTTGTTTTGTTTTGTTTGTCATTGTCGAAGAATCAAGAAGAGTTCTTTATCTTGAATTTTCGAAGCATTACGTATGATGCAAAAAAAAAAATTGGACAATAAAAACATTAAAGAAGTTATTAGGCACATAAGTTTGCAAATCCGAATGAATGTGAAAAATATTATGATAAACAATTCTAAAATAATTGCAACAACCAAGATGATCAATGATTTGCAAACAATAGATTATATAGTTCGGCAATCTTGACATTGAAAAAAATTTTCCAGGCTCAATACATTCTTTAATGTTTGAATGAAATTGTCACTTTTTTATTGGAATATTACAATCTCACTGTGGTTGAACATATGTGCAAGTGCAATTACATTAGTGTACATACTTCATGTAATATGATGATTTCAGAAAGTAATTTAACACCTCGGTAGAAGTACATATAACTAAGATTTTGGTAAGTCAATTTTTATTTGGAGATGTATTTTTTTTCCTACACCGTGGGGCGATGCCTTCATGAGATAGGTAACAATTTGTCTATATGTGGAGAGAGAGTGTAATAAAGTAGTTTATACAATGATAAAAAAAATACTAACAATTGTAATGGCACCTTGGTTATTTTACAGAGATATTCATGAACTGTTAGTATTAATACATTATAAAGACCACACAATCATGAAGCCTGGCTATATGTTTAGCTAGAATATTTATAAGTGTTTGAATAATGTAGACATTTTGCCGAATGAATTATGAAGAATTTTGCAATACTATTAATGTATTGAACTTCAACGGGTATGAATGCTTCTTACGAAAATGTCAAAATCAAAATGAAAGAAAATTACTCTTGAATCGTCTAATATAATTAAATAAAAGAACTAATGTATCTATATTATACATTAGGTCTTTATTTAGTTACTTAGTGTTTTATTTCCATGGACTATATTTTCTTGGAGTTGTAATATGTTCTTTCAATTTTTTTATTAGGACATCATTATGTTATTTTAAAAAAAATAAGAAGCTTATTTGTTCTACATTTTATTTCATTTTTGCAATGATTTGTTTAATAAATTAACTAATTTATTTTACTAAACTTAATGGTAAAAAACATTCATCACCACGTGCATCGCACGTCCAGTTTACTAGTATTATAAAAATATTGTAAAATGATTATTCAGATATTTAAGGTGATAATTGATTACTTATTCACTTTTTTATTTTGCTTAATGAAAAATATTTCATTAAAAGACGTGCAACGATTATGTTGCACAATATGAATTTGTGAAAAAAAAAAAAAA